CAAAAATGAGCCCACGGTTCCGAACCGTGAGCACCCCTACTTCAAGCCATGTCTGATATACTCCCCCYGGGGCGATATTCTGTCCACTATGATCACTCTAATACACATGTTCTTTGAGAATGAAAGAAGATGGTAAAATTATCCTTTGGCAGCTGAATGAAGATGATATTGAATTAGTGAAGAAAAGTTGTAATGCCACAAGATAATTGAAGTTTGTTAAAGAAGGAAGAGAGTGGTACATTTTATGCGTTAGTAGAGATGGAAAATAGAAAAGAAAATGGAGATTCCAGCAGAGAGGTAAGGATGCGGTTCCTAATACCCAAGGGATTATCACCAATGACCTTCAGCTCTAGATCAATTTAATGCCTAGTACTTTTCCTAATTTGGCCCATTTAGCATATCAGCTCCCGTTGTCATATTTCACAAGTAACTTTATGAATTACTTAAAAATCACAAGTGTTAATTTGTCTTATAAAAGTTCAGTTTGGTTGAGTACTTGGTCTCTTGGTTACAAAAGATCATGAATAATCTAAAAAATACTACAATTTCAATAAAAGGTTGCATTAATTTCAGTTACCTTGATAACCCCATTTAATTTCTTCTAAGGAATATCTCAGGATAAACTCTAAATGCGTCTCAACTTGTGAGTCTTTTTCATGGACAATGTGGCACAAAACTACAATTAAGGGAGTTTCAAGTCCCAATAAAGGAGGCTTAACATATAAGAGAGAGATCTTATTTTTAAATCCTCTCAAAAGCAAGTGAAGTGCTTTAAAAGTTATCTGTTTTGAAAGCTTATAAAAGAATTAGTAGAACCAAATTAAACCACAGAGATCAAAATAAAAGATTTTATGAGTTGACAAAATGAACCCCCAACCACATATGAATTTTTATGAACCCCACCAGGTTATGACTTATGAGCTAGCATAGCTGGAGATTCTCAATTTGGAGTTCTCAATCAAATTACAAAACTTCAGGCATCAGTTAATGGAGGCTAGGATCATGTCAGTCGCCCACTACTTGACATGGATCAGACCAGGTATGGGCCGGGACCAGATGCCATTACAAATTTAAGCCCGATGAAAAGCATTCAGCTAGAAACAAAGATCAAATTTGGGACCAGTCAGAAACATGCATTGTAGATTTGTAATGGAGTTAGTTAAAAAAAATAGAACATAAAGAAGAAGAAAAGATGATTTAGAAGTCAAAGGAGGGAATAGCGCACAAGCAGAAGAGCGTATTGGCCTGTATCGGTATTTTTTTTAAACCAGTTCTGAGGGGTCGGTTTAAGACCTGGTTATCCTCTGAACCATGGTCCGATCCGATACAACCCATAAAGGGGTGTATTGAAAAACTATCGCATGATACGATACGTATTGATACTTTGAAGTTTTCACAGCTAGCTAAAAAGTTAATATGAAAGAACTTTTGTTCGCTGAAATTGCTAGAGGAAAGAATCAGGGTTATCACGATGACGATGACGATGATGTGAATAAACTTTTGTGGAAGCCAATGAAAGTCAACCACAAAAGCATCATCGATCATCTATTTCTACTGGGTGAATCGTCTGAGTGCAGAACTGCAGAAAACATTTGCCTTTTGTTTTCATGGGAATGAACTCTTTCAGCGACAGGCGGCACGTCAGCCTCATGAAGGAAAAATGAGAAAGATTGTTGGGGCACATCACGGTGATTGAACCCAACCCCGGCCGGCCCCATTGAGTGGTACTTGTACATGCTCTGTCTTTTGTGCGTACCCGATCGAAGAGGAGGGCCGTAGTCTTAGATAATTTCTATACTGCAAGCTAAGAGCTTGACAGTTAAGATCAAGGCCGGGATTTATGCTCTTGGGATCAACCAAGACTAATTGTATCAAGAATCAAAAGAGAGCGATTGATTCTTACTTACGTGACGTTTGTTTTGGCTGTATTTGTAAAGAACGAATTGACCGGCAACGGGAGAAGAAGTTGATAAGGGGGATACAAGTGGTGCAGTACTGCAGTCGCTATGGATTCATTTCACATCCTGCCCAACTTAGCTCGTCGGCCACATGCTTGATATATAATAAAACAAACGCAAGAGGATAATAAGAACTTTTCTTGTATTTTCTTTTTTAGTTCTTGGGGCAACCATTTCCATCGACCGCTCCACCATATGATATATGCTCTAAAACAAGTGGAGTCAGTTCATCGGTCTTCGAGATCAAACAAAGGTTTATTCCCATCTAAGCATACTTAACTGCTAGCTAGCTAGAGCGTTTTAAGGTTTTTTTGTTCTAGTGTATGACTTTACTTCGAGCTTAGTGTAGTGATTATTAATAAAACTGTTCTTTTATCTTACGTAACAACAACTAGCTAACTTTGAGTGGGCATGTGCGACGCATGTCCCAGAGCAGTCTAAGGGTTTCTTTTTTTCTTTCTTTTATAGACACACATCTATGTGATAGTGCTTGGTTTGTAAATGGAACAAGGTTTCCTGATTGGATCCATGATGGTAATTACTTTCTGCTCAACCTACCACGTGGATGGTGAATTGGCCAATCTGAACCACCCAATGAATATGGCGGGTTTCTCTGAGAATTGGGATGAAGTTGTTTTATCCCCCATTCCACGTCAGTCTATAACCAACCTCACACTGCCAATTCCATTTTTTTTTCTAAATTTAAAAAGTAAAAAAATACTGCTGGCAGGGGAAATTAAAGAAAGAAGTGATTTGGACATGTAGCAATTAGCTAGCAATGGTTTCCAAATTGATGACTGTCTCGAATGTAGAATTAAGATATGTTTGGTTAAAATTCTGTTCCAAAAATCAACATTTGAATTTTGAAAAACGACAACTTTGAAGCTAAAAATGGTGATCTTCTGAAGTTTTTCTTTTATCCCCAAAAGAATTGACTCCAACTATTTCATGCATCATGAAGCCATAAATATATTATCATATAAATATATATATATATATATATATATATACATCGAAGCTTAAAATAAAATCTTAGTCTATATCACAAAATTCATTAATTAGAATTAATTCTTTGAAAATTAGTTAACATGCCAAACACAGCCTAATTAAGTGGTACCCTTTTGAGCCCCAAACCATGTATTGTCACGTGGAACAATTCACTAGTAAGTGCTATAACCATATTAAGCATATAACCAAATCCTTAAAGAAAAGGAAAAAAGGGCTCTCTTTTGTTTTTCTTTTCTTTTGGAAGCACCACTTCTTAGCTTTCAAGAGCCACTTGAGAAAGAGATCTCTGGTGTGAAAACTTGAACTGTTTGGCAATAATAATAATAACATGACTAACAACACTTTCAGAAAGTTTTTGTGCAAATCTTATCCACTCARAGGTAAGTGCTAATGATTAGTGTTAATTGATGAGACAGATTGATGTAGTGGAATCGAGTTCATCACTTGAGTCACACTCAGATTCCATTTACCTGGCTCACAATCTCTATCCCTTTTTCTTTTCTGCAAATGTGTAACAATTAATTACTACAAGTTCAATATGCAAATAAAATCGTTTCACAAATCACAACCCATTGCTTTAACTTGAGGAGGTTCACTTACTCTTGGTTATATAGCCACATGTTGAGAGTGTTTTCCTTACTATGCCACGTAGAGTCCCTCTAACTAATAGACTGAACTAAACTCGTATATATGGTGATGTAGAGCCACCCTGTCTACTTCTGAGCAATTTCCTCCCACACGGTTGGTAGGTCCCATGCATATTACACGCAGACAAGACTCAGGCGAGGACAAGAACAAAGCACCCAGAAAAGCTACAAATGATGTTTCGCTCTTATTCTCTTCGGTTTTAAAAATTAACCCTCTACAGACCACAGCATTAATCATTATCATCATCAGCAGCAGAAGTCATAACAAGTGTTCTTGACACTTTGGATGAAGATTTGTTTATTAATTTTACAGCTTTCAGAATCAGAGAGTGATGGTGGTTTGGAAACAAAAAATGTTGGGGTCCTTTTGGAATTTAGTGAGTTGAGTGCGTACAAATCCCTCTCTCTTTTCTTCTTTAATGGTTGGAAACATGTGGCATGAAGACGACACTGGTTTCTGGATGGACCCAAAGGCCACTTTAATGTTTTTGGGTTTCGAACTCCCACAGTTGTTGATTCAGTGAGGCCGAGGGAATCCAACACAGGGAGGGGAATCTGAGCCAATTAAGACATCAGAAGGGTTTAGGGTTATTATATTAAATTAATTAGGATAAATTGCTGAGACCTAACGGAACTGTTCTGGTTACTGGTTTCTGTGTTGGTGATTTGATCATCTGATTCAGATGGATGGCTCGTTCTGATAATAAATTTAAAAAAAAATAAAAATATAATTAAAAATAAAAAACGGCTACACCTGTTAAATAGGTCGATAGTTCGACCGCCCAGATTAATGAATTGTAGACTGATTCAATAGTTTTTGGTCAGGGATCGGGTTTAGGGTAAAATAGAATTGATTGCCTGAACGGTTCCTATRCTATCCGGATCAATGACGATTCAAAAACCATACTTTTTAATACAGTTGCAGGTACATCCCATATAGTAAAACTTTCTAAGAAAAAGAGATAAAATGTCCAAAATACTCATTCATTTACTATTAGTTTGAGTGATTGATATGAAAGACAAATTTAAAAAATAAATCAATGTCAAAAAAGCGATTGGAAGAGTTTAGGTTAATGATTCATMTGAAGAAAATTTGAAAAACAAACATTTTAACTTTTTATTGAAAGTAATTGCATACGTATTTTGAACATTTTTATGCTTTTTAAAAACATTATACCAGAGGAGTTACCTTACAACTATAACCAAAAGGTTTAGGAGAAGTAATTGCAATTACCAATTTAGCAATTTACCCAATTAATTAACACTAGGCGGCGAACATTAATTAATTAAGTAGTTGAGACAAGAAACAGACAGTGTCCAACAACTCAACAAGCAATTGTCGTCGTTTGATGACTTATATTTAATCATCAGCTGCAACCATGTCTACTGGGCACTAAATTCAAATTTCAATTAAGCAGCAGTCATCCGGCTTTGTTTGCTGGCATGTCTGTCAAGCATACAACATTAGACTATAGCTTTGACTCGATGCATGCGGATAACCAACCAACTAATAGCAGAAAAAAAAAATTACAGCGAATTTATATGGAAAGTATAAATTATCTGGGCATTAACGGTAATTATATAAAAGGAAGGAAAGATAAAAGAACAGACTTGAAAAAGATACGCCGACGGTCGGGCCTAAATTCAGCACCAATTCCTCTCATCTTTTACTATATAAAATCTGATAGGCCACGATATCCACAAAAGACTCGGAACGCATGAAGCCGTTGGTCTAGCACTCTGCACACCGCGGCGGAAATTACGCTTTCATCACAGTACGGCCGCATAAATAACGAAACCTCGTCGAAATTGGTATGATGATGGTGACTGTATGAGGGGGAGAGAGAAGAAGGAGGAAGAAAGAGAGTTTAAAGTTTAAAGAAGATTCTGTGCTACGTGGCATTTGCCACGGAGCGGAGCGATCGGGTGGGGTAACAGCAGTTAGCGAGTTGCAGCAGCTACCGCCGAGCTCATGACTGGTGTCTTGATGGTTGGGGCTGCGGCGGTGGCTACTGCACGATCTTCGATGCCCCTGTAACGGAATTTCCTGACGTATTCCTTCGCTGGCCCTGTAATAAGCTTCTCCCAGGCCTCCCCCGCTTCTTTTCCCTGCCTCTCGAACACTTGGGTGGCGTCCAGATAATGGAGATTCCACTTCCTTACGTCCCTAAGCCGGAGTATCTTCTCCAACTGGCAGCGGACTAATTTGCAAGTATTCACCTTGACATCGTCGGTCGCCGCTCCCAGAAGTCCCGCCATGGTTTCTTCGTCTGCTGTTGCTGCCGCTTCCGCTCGCAGAAATCCGTCAAACTCCGGTACCCCGATTGCCTTCCTGATTCCCCGTGAATAGTCGGCCTCCGGTTTAAAGACCTTCCTGATCTCGTCCACCAGACCCGCCTCAACCATGCCGTCCACTCGGTCTGATACGAACTTGTCGAGCACAGGCAAGGACACATTCACCCAAAGGAACAAACAATCATACTTGGAACCGAACTCGCGACCTCCGCCTTCCACCAGTGCTTCTATGTATGAGTTGGAGCCGCCCACGATAATGGGAAGCTTGTCACGACTGACGATAGATTCAACGGCGAGAGAAGCAGCACGACGGAAGTCCTCGGCGGTGAAGTCGGCGTCAGGGTGCACCACTCCAAGCAGGTGGTGAGGGATGCCGCACATCTCCTCTTCAGTGACTTTGTTGGTGGCAATATCCAGTCCCTCGTATACTTGCATTTTATCGGAATTGATAATCTCTGCGCGGAAGTGGGTGGCCAGGTCGATTGAGAGTTTGGATTTCCCGGTGCCTGTGGCTCCCATCACGAACACGACGGTGTTTTTGGGGCGACGAACGTTGAAGGATTCCATACTGATTCCGCTGCCCGGAAAATTTAGTAAGGAGTGAGCCTGTTTACATGCAGTCGACATGGCAATCCTCATCTTCCAATAGAGGTTAATTCATCAAACAAGAAAAAGTATTGCAATATACAGTAGTATGTTTGAATTTAAAGCAAAGAAATAGACGCGCGCAGCGACCAGCCACCGAGCCTCTCTTCTCTCCTTTCTTTCAGAGAGGAGAGAGAGAGAAGATGGACAACAAATGGACAAGAGAGAAAGATATTAAGCAGTTTGAAATTTGGGGAAAATAAATGAATAGCCTAAAATTTGTGTGTATTTTTGGCGCCACAAGGGGTGTGTAGAGAGTTTCAGAAAAGGGGTGTGAAGATTTGTTTGAATTGAGCAACAGAGAAACCACCTTTGGAATGAAACACAATAAGTAAGGTTGGGATGGGAGCTGGGTATTTATGGAGCTATGGCCGGGACCACCGTGCAGCAGCATATAGGCATATAGCAAAAGACTCTTTTGTTTATTATTTTAGGTTATATATAACTATGAAAAATCAAGCAGAGCTAGCTTCAAGACGATTCCCTAAAAGTGAACTTGCTTATAGAAGCAGTGGGTAAGAGTGGTTTTGAAAGTTTTATACGGTGATCAGCGGGAGACAACTTGTAGAGGCATACGCGCTTTGATTTGGTTTCATGTTTCCAGTATCGTGTCCCATAATGGTCTGATTAGGTGGGTAAGCAAATTGTGTCCCTCATTATCATGCATGAGACAAAAGACAGATTAATGGGACTCCAAAGAAAAAAATTAGCTACTCTAATTGTTGGTACTAAATTAGAAAAATTAATAAAAGGCCAAAATGCATCAATAATGCACCACATATTCTCATTGTTTGTTTCTTGCAAAAGAAAAAAGGAGGATATATATGGTGCATGTATATGAGAGAACTGTCTATCGAACATAAATTATACACACATGATTGGTTAACTAGAATGTAACCAATCCAACAACACTAACAAATTTAAGTGGGTCAATTGGACCACATTTGGTCCAATCTGATCCAGTCCGATATGATGAGTCTCTTACAGATGGATTAAGTCCAATTCAGTGTTTCGACTGTTCAATCTGTTCAAATTGATTTTAATTTAGATTGGTTCCAATCCAAATATGGTCCAGTACTGATACTTATATTCGTATGTTCTATCAATAGATCGGATATTGGTTCATTTGGACCCAATTCAATATAAATTCATTACAGATGGAACAAGTCCAATCCAATGAATATTTTGGAGCGTTAAATCTGAATTGGTCTAATTTAATGTCTTATTGGTCTGTACAATCTATCTAAAACCCATCCATTGACACCCATACTAACAATGCACAATGCAAAGGTTGTAGCAGAAAAAAAGCACAGAGAACTAAAAGTTAAGGCTGATGAGGATGATAAATACATTGGGGGCAGACAGAGAGAGAGTTTTAGAGGTTAGAGGAAAATATAAGAATGAAAATTTTGGGAGAGAAAATAGAAGGAAATTTCAAAACCATCTTAGGATAAAAGAAGTACACTTAGTCTATGTTTGATTTGAAGGAAAAATAAGGGAAAGATAGGAAAATCTGTACAAGGTTTTCCTACCTTTTCCTTTCTTTCCCAACATTTTCTTTCAAACCCAAATATAACCTTAATGAAACATGAATTAATGAAAAGTCAGTAGGTTTTAACATGACGAGTTGAGATTTGGATTCAGCATCCAGCCAATATTACTGAATGAATGCATATATTGTAGTTGAACTCGATCAGGATAAAATCAAAAACATAATTGGTTGAGAAAAAAATAGAAGAAAAGAAAGTGGCTGCTTAATTTGTCAAACAAAAAGATAAACCGAAAGAGAAAAGAGACATAATAAATTAGAAACACAAATGTAATTTCTCTTTTCCTGACCTCTTTTAGATTCTTTCCCAAAGGTAGAGAAAGTAAAGGAAGTAAGAAGCTTAACAGCCCCTATTCTCTCTTAAAACAAAGTCTTTATCTTTTCTTTTTCTGTTTCTTGTCCATTTTCTTTTGTTTTCTGTTATTCTCTTCATAACCAAAATTTACACAGTCAATGACTTCTCAGTTCTCACGCTCTAAACAAACATTCACCGTGTAGTATCAGTGGAAATTCACGTGCTTTGCACGTGGTATTAACAAGACACATAAAATTTAAGTCCCACTTTGTGTAGATTTTCTGTGTGCGCTCTCTCATAAGTGAGGTATCATCTTTACATAATAATGATAATAAAAAATTAATAGCATAACATCACGAAGAAGGATATCTTTTGTCATTCTACCAGCAATGTTKGAGCTTATGTAATAATAATCTGAAATTTGCAGCCTTAGCATGCATCGACTAATTCTACATCAGTGTTTTCAAAAACGGACTGGACCAGACGGTTGGACCAGAAAAACCGGGAATYGGTCACTTGATCGGTTCCATTTTCTTCCAAAACCGCTTTCTTCCTTAAAATTATTGATTTTGATCAGCAAACTGCTGAACCGGCTGATTAACCATTCGAACTGTTCGAACAGTTTTGACTGTTTTCCAATTTTTTAATTTTTTTATCAAAACGGACCGACCATTCAGATTGAACGATCAGACTGTTTGAACCGATAACTGGACTCTGACCGGTCGTTTTTTAAAAACCATGTTCTACATCACCCCCCAAGCAAAATGCAACCGTTTTCATGATCATCAGATGGAAGCCAATCCCAAAACAAGCTGGTGATATGTATATAAACATGAGATGTTGATGTGGGACCAAGTGAGGGACCCACTTGGACTGACACAGGGGGACCCACCTGAGYTGGCACAGTAACCCGTATATGTGAATAGAAAAATACATAGCTAGCAGCAATATTTAGGTCAGCAGGTCTATGAATTAAGCGCCCGTGGTTGTGAATAGAAAAAGAGTTGAAATTTGTGACAACACTTTTTGACTTTCCTCTGATAAAGAGTTGACAGTGAAGAGAAGTCGCAATTAGAATATATTGATATATATTTGATCAAACTTTGGAATCGGCTCTTGCTTATAAATTAATGTTAAGTAGCTTTTAAGACTTGAATATTTAAACACAACTTATAAACATTCTCACAACTCAAGCTCCGTTTCACTTCTTAATTAAATTCTAAAATGGGAGTGGCCTGCACTTGACTAAGTATAGATTAAAAAGAGCATGTCCACGATCATAAAACTAGGCTGAAATTTGTGAGGGCCCTCCATGATATTGCTTGGTTAAGCATCAATTCACAACCTGCATCATATAATTTGGGAAAGGCCGGCAGTGCTAGCTTTCTGCTCCAACTAAAAAAGAAAGAAAAAAAAAAAAAACTTTTTTTTATCGTCGGTCTCTTGTTTTTCAACTTTGTTCTCATTCTATCACTTAATGTTAGCAATCATGAAACTTAATAATGACTTAATCTATATTTGAATTGAATTAGAAGGATCAAGTACAAACACTAATTAATAAAATGATTTTCTTTTTTATATATCTTAATTATTTATTTCATGGGTCTAAATACGAACTTACAAGTTACAAAGGAGAATGACATTAATAATAATTATTAATAGGGCAAGTGTTGTTGTTAAACAACAAAAGAAAAAAAAAATGCAGACCAAGGCCTTAGTCACCATAAGAGTTAATTAATTTCCTTTAATCAGACAATGGGGTGACTTAAATCAATTGTTTTCGCCTCTATGCGCTTGTACATGCTGAAGAATCAGTACTTTCACTTGATAGATAGAGTTGATCATCAATTGAATAATAGTATCGTACAAACTAGGTGCTACGTACCATTAGTGATGGAAATATATAGCTTAGTACACTTTAATTACTTGGTTTACTTTATTTAAAAAAATACCACGCTAATGAATCAGTGAATAAAATATACACAGCAGAAGAGACACGACTCTTGTAGCTATTGGAATATAGTGGTCAGGACATTGAGCTTTGAGCAATATACATGAACGAGATTGAACCCAGAATATAAGCACCTAGGTTGACAGAGGAAGACCAGCTGAAACACCACTGTTTCGATCTAAGAAGTGATGCWCTCTTCTCTAGTGACTTGTTTGATTGGATTTTTATTTGTACCAAGTACAAACGTGCACTTTATTTCCTAGAAGAACTAAATATTAAATGGGTCCTAGGTGCTCTAAGCATTGACCTTGGTGCTATTGGTGCTATAACTCCATGGGTTGACCCTATTTTTTCTTTCTAGCTTTAGCTTTGCGCCAATTGTAGTTTATTAATCAGAGAGGTTAATGGCCACAAGCACAAACACTTGCATATCACAATTTGAACTGCTACTTAACTACAAGCATGCCTATCATACTAGCTAGCTATTTTTCTAATATATTTTCAGGATTTCTTTCAATATATTGGGTTTTCCATTTTGGACGTGGGAAATAAAGTAACAAAGTGTGGATTCATTACTTTAAAGTATTTTATTTTAAGCGCTAGCTTATTAATTCATTGGCAACCTAGTGAATTTTAGTCATTCTTTGTCAAGCCAAATGATATATTAGCTATAGGTTAATTAATACTGCCGTAGAAGCCTTATCGCTATATATATGATCATTTATTTATCCCTAGTGACCGAGACTTTTGCTATTCTAAACTTCTGAAATCAGCTATGGTTATCTCTATTTACTTAACTAAATAGGGGAAAGAAAGAAAAGAAAAGAAAGTTCAAAGACTCTGTGGGCAAGAATATAATCATAAAAGTGAGATCATTAGAGGGCTTTAACAAAAGGAAAATGATAACAGAAGTGGGGCCTTATGAAGAAAATATATAATGGTTTGTGTTGGAGAACGAAAAACTATTGGGAGAACTTACGTAACAGCTTAAGCTTTTAGGTTGAAAGGTTCAATGAATTGACCTATTCAGAGGCCTCACCTAATAGCTTAAAACTTTGAGAATTTATAACCCAGAGAGAGAAATGCCAGGACGATGGTAGCTCGTATAATTGTCACTGTGAAACGCAATGTGTAATATGAATCTCCTGGTCAAGAAGCTCGCTCCATAAAACTGCTTGCGTTGTTCTTGGAAGTCTCTGCCATTCATAACCAATAACAGAGATATGATGGCGAGTAGACAATGCTGGGGTCACCTCATTATCTAATGCCACTAACAGCAACAGATTCATAACTCCAGAAAACTTTTTCATTTTTCTGTCTGTTATGCCATGGGTCATGGAAATTTCTAATTGCTCATAAAGGCGATTACAGCCTAGGAACTAACTATTTTTTAACATATATATAAATGGTACAGAAACTCCAAAAACGAAAAGTTGATCGTACAGGAATATTGCAGCGGAAAGTCGGAAACTAGAAATCAATCACCAAGTGCGGTGCGTCTCAGATCCCAGTGTAGAATGTCGCATTAAAGTCTCTTTGTTCGTACCATATGTAACTGTAGCTAATACAGAGAGAAGAAA